AACATTGCACCACGGACTGTCATTAAAAAAAAACGATGTCATTTCGAATCATTTGTTTTTCAGTACTTTTCATAGTTTTCTAAATCAAATTGTAATTTTACACATCAATTTATTAGCAATTACCAAAAAATTTGTAAAGATGTTTCTGACTGGAAAAATAGTTAATTGTATTTATTTACATTAAATAATTTCAACTTAAAATAATTAATTGTAATGTATTAGAGCTACAAATATCCTATATTTTTATCGATCCTCCATTTGAAGAATGTTTACAAAACGTTTACAAATTTCTTTTAACCTCCTTATTGTAAGTTAATGTAAAAAATACGTTTTAGGTAATTTACTTTTATGAAAACTAAGTTCACTTATCAAACGTAAGGTTCCTACCATACAAAGGGTCATATTTTAATGAATTTCCTATTACATAACTCATTAGTGTACCGTTAGGCAAGCAACAAGCGAATGACCTAGCGACGATACTCGTACATAGCAAAGGAAAATACGAAGAATTCAAGACTAAGGAATGTCTAGACATGGCAACGATTATTATGTTTCGGTTTGCGGTAGCTTCGTTAGTTTTAATAACTGTATTTTATACTGCATATACTCGTACTTAGAACATTTATTTAGTTTAATATGTTATCATATTTTTATCTTGTCTTTACTTCGATGTGGTTTTTTTTTATAGGATAAGGGTAACAAACGAGCACACGGTCCACCTGATGTTAAGTGGTTGCTGTGGCCCATAGACATCTACATCTATTCTCGATTATGAATCAAAATGCAGATGCGTTGTCACCCATGAGGACTAAGATGGAATGCCAAGTTTCCAGTAAAAAGGGTCTCCGGTTCTCTACACTCTCCATACGAAATACAGCAGCGTTAAGCTGCTATTTTACCCTGGTATTCTATGAAAGCGTGGTCCTTCCCCGGTCGAGCAGACCCATGAGTTTTGCAATTTGCATGTTATTATTGCGTAAAAAAACTTTAAAAGAGCTTTATAAAGCTTTATAACTTTTTTATATTGGATATCTGTGCCCGGTAAAGATGAACCAAGAAACAAACAAATGTTATTTTTAAATACAGTTTAATAGCGAAACTCAAGGGACTGAGTATTTTATTGTGATAATGAGAGCTTTCGTTGTATGGAGCGTAGAAAAAAACCAACATAGGTAGTATTTAAATAAACTATTAGTAAATCCAATTGTGCATGCCCTAAGCGCATTAAAATATACGTATAACATGATTATACGTGAATTTTTTAAAGTATCTTAAGTACACACAAGTTTTCATTTATAACCTTATTATTATACTACCAATTTTCCAATAATTTTATGTCAAACTTCAATTTAAAAAAAAGTTTGGAAAATCCAAAACTCATAATGCTCATATGATCATCATATTGATGATATGATATATACGATTACGACTACCCCAATTTGTATTGGTAGTAGTCGTAATGTTTATTTTTAAATTATTTATTCAAATGTCTATTCCAAACATAAGTAATGTGCATAATATGATATATAAGTATTATTATAATATAATTAGTAATTAATGATAAAATAAAAACAGCGCTGTGCGGCGCAGCTGGTTAGCAGAAGGTTGGCGATTTTTTAACCCTTGTTCTCGATATTTCACGCATTCGAAAGGAATAGTTTGTATCGTCTGCGTACAGCAAAGGAGTGAAATTATTTGCCAGCGTATGTATTTTTCTCCAATATGGGGTTTTTCAATTCCATAATCTGGGTGCCTTCAAGGCAAGACTTAGGTGAAAGCGCCAGCGTGGCCCGCGAAATTCAAAATTTCTTACGTTTTTTGGAATTTGCAGGTGAGCGTTAGGTTGTATGTTTAACAAAATATGATTCGCGACCGTAACGAGTATGTGTTTACAGAATTATTATCATTAAAATCACCACTACAACCACTACTACAACTAAGTTCATATAATCCCTTTGAATGAGTTTTTCTGGAAATAGCCATACAATGGAATTATACGAACTTAGAGGTTTGTATTGACGATTATAATGATTATAATTCTGTAAACGCATACTCGCTACGGCCGCGAATCATATTTTGTTAAACGTATAACATGACACTGACCTGCAAATTGCAATAAACGTAAGAAAATTTGAATTACGCTGGCTATCCTGGCGCTTCCACCTTAATACTCGTAGGTTTTTGTTACGATAAAGCAGTGCGATTTATGGCTAGCACTGTGTCTTATAATATATAACTAATAAATTCTATTGTATAAGATATTCCGATTATTAATATATATAAGGAATATTTTTCTACGCTTAATTCATTCATTATAGCCTGTCAAGTCTACTGCTCAACAAAAGCCTAATCCATTTATTACCCTATAAGGGTATTGGCTATATTTGTACGCTTAACAGGCGGGTTGCTAACCGCAATTTTTATTACTTTGAGTAGTTATCGAGAAGATGCTGCTGTGTATCTAAGGTTTCATTTCCTTCTGTCGCTTGCCACATCCACGTGATGATGGGTTTGTGGATTCTCTTCCTCTGCCACTGCACATCAATGTTATTTGGTGATGCATATTAAATAATGATGAATTTAAAATATACGACATAATACACTTTTATTTGACATTTTATGAAAAAATTGCGACATTTTGAAACAAAGCGATACATCTTAACCAATTTAGTACTGCGCAAATGGAGACAGCCTTCGTAGACTTGTACGGGACAAGGAATTTGATTATTGCGCTTAAACGCGTAGTGTAGGCACAGGTATACGCGTTTGTATTTAGTATGTGATATTATGATATTACTTCTGAATCAATATTATTTATTTATTTTTGATCCTTCCCAGGAGTAAAACGATCGTCGACTTTTTCGATCTAGCGAGTGTTTTGGAGGCCTATGTTCAGCAGTGGACTTGTGATGGGCTGCAGTAGTTGTAGTAGAGTAGGAATAAAAAAATATACAATTCTGAGACAAAGAACCAGACTGTATGTAACAAGCTCACTGCTTGACGCACTAAGCAAAATTCGCAACAGCCGATATCTTTCTAGAACGATCTCTTTTAATTTAAACGAAAGGCCAGTAATCCAGCAGTTGATTATATTCGATTATTTTGATGTTTTCGCTGTGGCTCCTGTGGCCATGATATTTTCATAGTATTTCAGTTGTAAGTTGTAAGCTGCTATTTTAATTAATTTTAAAGAGATGTGAGAGCGTAGTCCTTCCCGGTCGAGTCAACCTGTTACAACCGTAATATAGCTGCAGCATGGCTTTACCAGCTCTACCATATATATAAATCCTACTTACCTACCTTTGAAAAGATTTTACACTATGACATTACTATTACACAATAGTAGGTAAAACTCGTGATATCGTGACAATTAATGTAGCGAGTGTACATCATGTGGCGCTATTTATAAGAATTTATTTTTATAATTTATTATAACATTTTTTTAAAATTTAACATCATAAGAAAGAACTCTTTTTATATTGCGATTCCTATTTTAACTTATAATCGACCGCACGACCAGACACTCACTTTATTGCATCATACGTGTACACATGACTTGTCACTGTCAACGCACAAGGTCAGTGGGTCAAACAAGAGCGGACACCGAAAGTGGATTAACTTCTGTCTGGTGTTGGGAACCATTTCGTTTACCTACATACATGTAACGCTTCGTTGCGCCGTGTTGATCGTATCTCGCTGAGTTTTCATTATTACTTCCTGGTTAGTCTAATTAATGACGATGTATACGGGGTTTCTTCGGGGTTATTATTATATAGATATAGTAATTATAATAATTACGCCTAAGCAAGACAATAAAATGACCGTGTGGAGGCGTCGTAAAGAATCTATTACTACGTTTTCTCCTGTGGGTAACCATGACAGTAAACCATTAGGAATACTAAAAAAGTTTTCTTTAAATCTTATGGCTGACTGTAGATGGCAGTATTTGTCTCGTTTATTCCAGATGTATTAGTTATTTATTCTGTGGTATTAGATAGAATTTCACGTTTCGAAGGTATAGGTAGGAATAAGAATAGCTGAAATTAGTTCTACATCATTTTGAGGATATCCTACAGTATGCGATAGATGTTAGAATATTATTAGAATCGTTCCAGACATATGACGCAAATCAAAATTTACATTGCAAGGGTTCTGGGACCCACATCACCATTTGGACGCGACGGTAGCCAAATGGTTTAGGTTTTTTCATAAAATAAGGATGGCATACAGTTACAAACGCTAACAGTTAACACACAACCCACGATTGTATGTTGTCGCCTATAGACATCTATCCTTGATTAAGAATCAAAATGTACATAGATGCCTTGTCACCCCCGAAGGACTGTGATGAATTGTTTCGTTAGATACTAATAAAAAGTGTCTACGGTACACTTACCGTTTTTGCCGCGATTGCTTTATTATATATAACTAACTAAACAGTGGTAGAGCCACGCGGCAGCTTTTGCTGTCGCACGGATGGGCCGGCTCGAACCGGGGTGGTACCACGACCTCACAGAAAACCAGCGTGAAGTAGAGGTTTACCTCTGCGTTTCGCTTGGTGAGTGCAGGTGGCCGGAGGCCCTTTTTACTGGAAATGAGGCATTCCATCTTAGTCCTCACGGGTGACAACGCATCTACATTTTGATTTGTAATAGAGGATAGATGTAGATGTCTATGGGCCGCAGCAACCACTTACCATCAGGTGGACTGTGTGCTCGTTTGTCATCCTTATCCTATAAAAAAAAAAAACTAAAGAGGCAATCCGGTATGTCACTACCCTCAAACACACGATGTTTTCTTTCACCGGTGAGTAGGTGATACTCTCACAATTCGCGTTTTTGCAATCCCAACCGACACCAATGAAATTGTTTTAACTATTAATATATTGGTAACTATTTGTCAGCCAAAAGAAAAATGTGACGATCTTAACATTAAAAGGTGTGTTTATTTCCATGCCATATTTTACGTTATGAATTAATGTAACAATGTTTTTCCAACAGGTCAGCGATGGAGCTGTAGCGCCTGTGAACTCACTGCTAGCCGGTTTTTATCTTTTAGCTGGACCCTTTGTGTCGGCACTGGCTAATAAGTAAGCATTTTTCAACTTTACCAATATCCTAAAAACGGCATTTGTATACATACATACATAACTTTCACACCCGTCACGCATTGGGGTAGACAGAAACTACCGAGCCATTTGGTACGATCCTGACACACTGCACTGCTCTCGCTTAGGGGTATTTTTTAATATTAGCCTTATGGCCTTTCAATAAACCCATCTAGTGGTTGTATTATTTTATTAACATCATTATGTACTATATTATTATATGTATCATAATATTGTCTTACAGTGTAGTGGCGGTGTACAAAATACAAATATCCACTACCCTAAATCGTCCCGTGGGTGTCGTAAGAGGCGACAGAGGGAAATTGAAACAGGAGATAGGCAGCAGCATCTTCGTGATAACAACTACAAATAATAATAAACTACGGTTGCCAACCAGCCTGCCAAGCGTGGCAACTATGGCAAAATCCCCCTATGAGACAATCTATGGGGAAGGCAGTGGACTATTATAGGCTGTAATGGAGTGGAATATTATATTTTACATAATATAATGTTATAGTACCAGTAGCATATGCGCAAGGTGACCTAAACCTACCCGTGCACTATTCAACCCATATATAATAAGATCGCAATACTTTAAAATTTACCACAATCCATTTTCCTTGTTTTTGCATGTACAAAAAACAATCAAAAAACGACAGCAATAGGCTATTTGAAACTAAAGGTTTTACTTTGTTGCAGATATGGCTTCCGGATTGTAACCATAGTGGGCAGTGTGATATCGAGTATTGCATTTGCGCTTTCCTATTTTGCCACGAGCGTTGAATATCTTTACCTTGTTTATGGAGTTCTTGGAGGTTGGTAATTACAATGCAATTTTATAATTTGTACAAATAATATCTCCAAGCGTTAAAACGATGCAAAAGTTTTTCCTGATATTATCCTATAATTATACTACTACTGCCTAATTTATCTAGAGGTGGTAATGACGATGGTTAATGAAGAGGTCCTGAGTTTGAATTCCGAGTCGGACCAAGATCAGTTACTCGGTTTATATGTCAAGAAATTTGCAGTGGCAGCCCAAAATCACGAAGCTGGCCATCGCATGGCACCCCTTGGCGCGGAAAGCAGGTAAAGCCGTTGGTCCTGCGCCTGACCTCTCTCCGCTCGTGTCGGATTGCCGACCCATCGTACTATGAGAGTGAGGGAATAGATAGTGCACCTCTGCTTACGCACAGTCGTGCACCATAGCTTATTCTGCGCAGGTAACTAGTCGAGACTGAAATTCGGCGTCTAGAAGATTATATATGCTGGGTTATTTTGCAATAACCGGCCGAATTTGTAGAGAAAGTTCAGAATTAGTAATACAAGCAAATAGTGAAGAAAAATTAATTTAAAAAAATTCAAACATTCTATTTTAACTGATTGTCATTCATAAATATCTAACGCCTACTATTTTAGTACGCACGCACACATTCGTAAGAGTCGCTCGGTCGGCAAAAAGGTTGCGATTTGAATTGCACACAGAGGAAGGCACTAAAGTTCTTGTTTGCGTAGTTGTTGTCCATAAATCACATTCAATTTGGGATAATTTGAAATAAAAGTAGATGCCTTATTTACTCGTATTTTCGAAAATTGCAATAACGGTACCTATGTTCTTATATATATATATATTTGAACATAAGTTTAAAATTTGGCTACTCTGAAAAATAACCCTGTATAATAAAAAATCCAAGATATTAATATCGTCCGCAAAGCTGTTATGCTGCAGAAGTGAGTGGTAGAGTTGGCAAGGGACGCCTTACACAGAAGTTTTTCAATCAAATTTGCGATATATTGAACTTGGTCTAAATTAAGAGTAGGTACTCATAACCGATGATCATGGACACTTAGATATATGGATGTGAACGAAACGAGAAAGGTGTGTCACAATCGTGCAAAACGGACGTCCGTTAGTCTCTGCCTAGCCCTCTGGGTGACAGATGAATATGATTATAATTAAAAGTTTTGCGTTTAAGAACACCCAGCAGACATTAAGCGCTCCCATAGCTGGCACCTGGTGTAATGGACACGTTTGACGGATAGGTGATTACACTTCCTAATACCTCACATATTTAATGTTGCTTTCTGTTTCCAATCTGACATCTAACTGTACATCTGGTCGTCAAATCTGAACGTCATTTGAGCTTCCTATATCGGATCTCTTACTTTGTTATTACAAGGCAAAAAATTTAAAACTATTATTCAAAAACAACGGAAACCTGCATTTATAATTACTCTTTTCTCAGGTATCGGCTTCTGTATGATCTACATGCCAGCAGTGCTAACGGTCGGATTTTACTTTGAGAGATGGCGTGCCCTCGCCACGGGTTTGGCACTGTGCGGCTCTGGAGTTGGAACTTTCATATTCGCGCCTCTGACCAATATCTTTATTGAGCAACTTGGCTGGAGGACGACTATGCTTATAAATGCTGGTGAGTTTTATTCATAAGAATATACTTTATTTTGGAAGCTAATCACCGTACTATTTCCTTTACCTATTTTTAATTTTCTGCCGACTTCCAAAAAGGAGACGGTACTCAATTCGACTGTATTTTTTTTATGTATGTTACCTCATAACATTTTACTGGGTGGACCGATTTCGATAATTCTTTTTTTATTTGAAAGCTGATAGTTCTCGTGTGGTCAAGTTGATCAATTTGATCAAGGTCAAGCCAATAGTTTTTGAATTATTCTTAATAACTTATTTTGAAGTTGGCTGTACAAAATTTTTAATTTTTAATGATTATCTTATTAATACAATAATTATAAACATAAAACAGTAATAACTCAAAAGTTCATCACGAACCACTATACTATGGTTGAATGTTTGTCTTAAACGACAAAGATTATTCACGTTAACATTGGATACGCTTAATAAGTTTAAAAAATGAGTAGTACCTAATACACTGAATAATTATATTCAATAATATATTACGACGTAATTTAACAATGCCCCACATGGTTAAATGTTCAGTCACATGAGATAACAATAAAACTGAGGTCAGCCGCACCGGAAATGCTAATCTTTACTATCTGTCCGTCGTTTACACAATTCGGTAACGCGTTCGTTTTAACGACCACCTAATGAATGCCCTACTGGTTAATGTAAATGTTATTGAATAAAACTATTTTTTACGGATTTTATCGCGTTTAATTAAGTTATTTTATATTCCCGACGTTTCGGTTGCTTTCCAGCAACCGTGGTCACGGGGGACTGAGGTGATTGACGTCCCAATGTCAAAGTTAACCCGGAGTACCTTCAGCTTTGTAATTATTAATTTTGGTCCGATCTACGCAGAATGAACTAACTGTGTCTTGAAGTCTTGCAGTGGTATGCTTGGGTTTAGTTTTAATTTTATGAATTACAGGATCCCAAGCAGGTGGTAGTACCCAGCCTCCCTCTCTATTGAAATTAGGATGTTTTTTAATTTCAATAGCCTTACGTATCATCCTTGGCAGGAATCGATGTTCTTTCGCGAGAACTTGTGGTTTATCAAATCTAATGTAATGGCGTGGGCCGTCTAGGATATGATCACAAACTGCAGACTTCCCGGAACGTTGGTGCTTCACGTCAGCTATGTGTTCTTTTACGCGGGTTTTTATTGATCGTTTTGTTTGCCCTATATATGAGAGACCACACTCACAATCAAGCTTGTATACTCCTGTATCTTGTAGAGGAATATTTATTTTATTCAATGTGTAGTGTTCGCGTAAATATAAGAAATCATTATGTAAATGTTATTTTTTATAATATTAGCGACAAGCGAGCATCAAATGGTATAATATATAAATGGCTACTGCAGCCCATAGACATCTGCAACCCGCTTTAAACAGAGAAAGCTACAGACGCGTTTTTTTTTGATAACAGATAAAATATCCATCCTGTAGTTATACCAGATTTCTTACCCTTCATAATGGAAAGCAGCCAAACAGCTGCCAATCTTGATAAGTTCAATCAAAACAAAAATTGATTTTTGGAAAAATAATTTAAAATTAAAAATTTTGTACAGCTGACTTAAATATAAGTTATTTAAGAATAACTCAAAAACTATTGTTCTGACCTTGATCAAATTCATATGGGACCACACGAGAACTAATAAAAGAATCATCGAAATCGGTCCATCTGGTACAAAGTTATGAGGTAACACACTTAAAAAAAAACATACAGTCGAATTGAGTACCGTCTCCTTTTTGGACGTCGGCAGAAGAAAAACATGTTAGTGTTTTTTTTATATGCATGCGGCCCACCTGGTGTGTGATTACCAACGCCCATGTATAACTAGAACACCAAGTGAATCGAAGACCGGTATTTTAAAAAATATTAGGCTCTGTTCTTAAAGGTCCCTAAGTAATTTCGGTCCGGAAAAATCGTTGGTGGTAGCCGATTCCACAAGGAAGTTGAGCAAGGAATAAAACTTCTGGTAAATCGCACTAGATGGTATGGATGATATCGCGAGTTTTGTAATGATTGTTATTGTATTAATTTACACAAATAAGACCTCACAGTATTAATTATACGTAGTTTTTATTTTGTAATTATTTTTTCCAATTGGCCAATTATCAAAATTGCGATTTCTTATTAGTAATTTATATTTTTTTAAACATTTGATTTAATTTTCAGGAGTTGCACTAGGTTGTTTAATATGCGGCGCCATGTTCCGTCCTATTAAACCAGTAAGAGTGACGCTCGCTGACCAAAGAGAAGAAGATGATACAGCCCGCCGACATGAAGAGGCTGTAGAAAAATTAAATTCAATGCTCAAGCTACATAGCAAACTTGATTCGGGTATTTCAATGCCACCAGAAATGAGATTCACGAACAAAGTCAGCCCACACACGTGGATGGGAGTCGCCAACAACACTCGCTATCCTACAGCGGAAGAAATCTTTAGAGGAAGCAACTCCCACCTCGGTAGACGATCCTCGGCCACAGCTGGAACTATCAAACATAATCTCACAAACAAACCTATGTTCATCACCGGAGCGGTGGCTGAAAAAGATGAACAAGATGACTCTAATAGCAACATTGACAACGCAGAGCCTTTAATTGCTACCCCCATTAAAGTGGTGCCGGCGGACGCAAGACCACGACGTTCTCACGCCGACTTAGTAGCGAGACCTTTGTACCGTGACGATATATTCTTCGGAGCAAGTCTTGCAAGATTACCACAGTACACGTCCCGCACATCGCTCGGTTACCATTTGGCGGTCACTCATGTTCCGACCCAGCAAGACGCTCAAGAGGATGAATCTGGAAAGTGCAGCCTTTGCCCAGAAGCTGTTAGACGAGCGCTTGCAACTATGTTGGATGTCAGCCTCTTCAGATCGCCGACTTTCATTATCCTTGCTGTTAGCGGTTTCTTCACAATGTTAGGATTCTTCGTGCCATACATGTACGTGAAGCAAAGAGCAGAAGCGAATGGACTGAGCAAGGGGTCAAGTGTGATGTTGGTGTCAGCTATCGGTGTTGCGAATATAATTGGACGTATTGGTTGCGGTGTCGTGTCTTCCATGCCAAAAGTGTCGCCATTGTGGCTGAACAATATTGCTCTTTCTGCTGGCGGAATAGCTACAATGATGAGTGGACTCTATTACAACGATATCTTCCAGTTCGCATACTGCGTTGTCTTCGGCCTTTCTATTGGTAATTTCGATTATTTTTATAAAAGTAGAGATAATACGATCACGCATTCCACCTGATGTAGACATTTCCCGTAATCTTTGTGGCATATATACTAATAATATACTATTTAAAATATGCCCCATATTTACCATAGTTGCCATGCTTGTCACGCTTCTGGTTTGTTTTCCTCTATCGTCTCTTATGACACCCACATGACGATTTTCATAAGCTTTCAAAATATCTATAGATATTAGCTGACCCCGTATTTTTATTCGCAATGGCAACTCTAACGATTTTCTTTTTTATAGAATTAGGGTGACAAACTAGCACACAGTTCACCTGATGGTAAGTGGTTGCTGTGGCCCATACACATCTACACCTATCCTCGATTACGAATCAAAATGCAGATGCGTTGTCACCCGTGAGGACTAAGATGGAATGCTAAATGATAATGCATGAGTCCCGGCAATTGTCTTTTAATTTGCTACATTACGTGTGTAAGTAAGCTTAAGTGACTGCGTAAGGATTAACCAGTCCACTGCTGGGTATCTGTAAAGTTTACAACGTTTGTTACATGGTTTATAATAGCATCTTAATATTAACCTGCTATTATAAACCAACATGGTCTACTATTATAAGTAGATATGTTTGTACGTGGTAAAGCCATGCTGCAGCTATAATAGTAGTATAGTTGTAGCATGAATGGGTCGGCTCGACCGGGGAAGGACCACGCTCTCACAGAATACCAGCGTCAAATAGCAGCTTAACACTGCTGTGTTTCGTATGGTGAGTGTAGAGAACCGGAGACCCTTGTTACTGGAAAAGAGGCATTCCATCTTAGTCCTCTCGGATGACAACGCATCTGCATTTTGATTCGCAAACGAGGATAAATGTAGATGTCTATGGGCCATCGCAACCACTTATTATCACATGGACTGTGTGCTTGTTTGTCACCCTATCCTATAAAAAAAGCAATTTAAGAGAAATTTCCGACGGTCAATATAGATACTTTCGGCAAACTGCACACATTAACCCTTTCTTTTTCTTCTTGCAGCCTGTTTCGCATCACTTCGCTCAATCCTAGTCGTGGAATATATCGGCCTGGAGCAATTGACCAACTGTTTTGGTCTATTCCTTCTCTTCCAAGGATTTGGAGCTCTTTTGGGCAGTCCTATTGCTGGTGAGTTATTATAACAAAAATTATTTATTTATGCGAGAACCCTAGTGGCGGGTAAGAATACCCACACCCCATATCTTCCCGTGAGTTTCGTAAGAGGCAACAGAGGGAAACTGAGACGGGAGATGGGCAGCAGCATCTTTTTGATAATAACAAATTATGATTAAAAAAACTGCGGTTGCCAACCCGCTCGCCAAGCGTGGCAACTATGACAATATAACCCCCATCAATCAATAAAGGTACGAAGAGACGGCCCCAGTCCCCGGCGGCCCCGCTATTCCTTTTTCCGGTGGTGACCATTTTAACGGCAGGGCAAGGGGTGCTAAGAATCTCAGATGGAGGTTCGGTTGCCACCTAAGATGACTCGACCTGGCAACATATAACCTTCTAAGCCGTGTCTACGTGTTGTTTTCGAGAGTCATTACGAATCGTCTCGTATGCAGTCTCAACGACTTCCAGCCGTGATTCCGTCAAAATTTGGGCGGTGCAGCAGTCCCTTCATCGGTGCCAAGTTTACTGTCGGTATATCGAAGTGCTAAAGTGCTTGTACAGTAGAGCTACGATGGCTATCAGAGTACAGAACCAGAGTACGAAACCTATCCAACTACAGAAAGGTGTATGATAGGGTGACATTATATCCCCGAAACATCACGATATTCTCTGCAATATGTTTGACTTGTAGAGATCGCTTCTAAGCGATGAGGCCGCCAATTACCTTTAAATAAGTTGTTATTTTTTCCTCTTACTTTTTGGTGTACAATAAAATATATTTCATTCATTCATTATCTTATATATTAGCCATGTAGAGATACGAGGGAAAAGTTTACTTATCGAAGACCAATATAACTTACGGCTATTTCTCTAAGTTACCTCTTACTACACTTACCAAATGGAATATGGAAAAGAGCAATACGTTATCTCCTATATATCCAGACCAGTAATAGAGAATAGCTTCTTTTCTTTCCTTCAAGATAGATCTCTTTCGTTGTAGGAAGGATTACCAAGACGTCTCGCACTTTAGGCGCTGCTGCTTAGGATTTTAAATTATGAACAAATATTCTAAGGCGACGTAGATTTCTAGTAACATTATAATTTTAAGATGAGGGAGTTATTTGCATTAAGACATGTTTAACCATTTTTTTTAATTTTTGTCTCTCTGTCTGTCCTGGCTAATCTTCGAAAAAACTGGACTGATCGTGATGAAACTTCATGAAAAGATACAGAGCAATGCGATGAGTGATCTAGGCTATATTTTATCCGAAAAGCATTTTTTTTTCTTTTTTCGTTTTTTTTTGTGAAATCTAATAATTTATTAAACAATGATCGTTGATGATTATCTTAAATGTAAATGATGACACAATGACATTAATAGATGAGATAGACGCCCAAGCGCAACCGGGGCGGGTTCTTAATATAAATAAAGATGGAAAGTAACGACAAATTTGATAAACAATTTCAACACAATTGCATAACAACTGGCGCCAGTATATTTCGGTGCGTGTAACTATTGCACCGGCACTGTGCCAAAATCCCACGTTGAACAATATATCCCGCGGGTGCGGGTCATTGAATGAATTCCACGTAGCTATATTCGCCGTCTAAACAAATCAGACAGCTCGGTTTGCGTTTTTCAACAGATTTATCTGTTTACACGAAAAAGTAATGAAGGCTAAACGAATACCTTTCCTCCTCTCTCCTAATTTAATCTCTTTATAGGATTTTTTTAATATAATAAGAGTAACAAACGAACACACAGCCCACCCTATGGTAAGTGGATCCCGTGGCCCATACACATCTACATTTAACCTCGATTAAGCATCAAAATTTAGATGCGTTGTCACCCCAGAGGATTGAGATGGAATGCCTCATTTCCAGTAAAAAGGGTAGTCTCCGATTCTCTACACTTACCATACGAAACATAGCAGCATTTTACGCTGGTAGTCTGTAACAGCTTGGCCCTACCCCGGTCGAACCCACCCATTCGTGCTATAACCATAATATACCTATCTGCAGCGTGACTCTATCACGTATAAACAATTATTTATTCTGTGGTATAAATAAGTACGTATAAGTATCTTAACTGTATACTTCTCAGATATAAGGAAGATGTAAGAAATGTACAAATAAATGTATATTTAACTTGTAAAATTTAGTTTCCCGATCCCAGATATTAAAATTCAAGGAAACTCACTGATTAAAAAAAATCACAATGTATTCATAAGTTGCGTTGGATCAGTACATATGGTAAAAAAGTGATCCTATAAGGGTTCCGTTTTTCCCTTTTGAGGTACGGAACCCTAAAAATCATACTAGAACGCTTGAAATATCTTTCGTATCGTTTAGGCGTTTTAAATACCTACATAATATATTGAAAATGGCTAAACACTCGGACTCGATATAAATTATTAAGTGTACAAAATAAAATGTGTGTAGAACTAAAGCTATAATCGTATCATTTAGATTTGCTGTCCTAGAAATTAAAATTCATGGAAACCGATTTAAAACACCACGTTACAATGTTTTCGTCAATTGCATTGGGCACCTACGTATATTTAAAAACCACAAATTTTCCCGAAAAAGTATATACTCATATATTTTTTTCATTAAAATACAGTAAAATGTCAGATTAATACCTATTTATACGTGGTAGAGCCATGCTGCAACTATATTAGTAGTATAGTTGTACCACGAATAGGTCGGCTCGACCGGGGAAGGACCACGCTCTCACAAAATACCAGCATTAAATATTAGCTTAACACTGCTGTGTTTCGTATGGTGAGTGTAGAGAACCGGAGACCCCTTTTACTGCAAAAGAGGCATTCCATCTTAGTCCTCACGGGTGACAACGCATCTGCATTTTGATTCGCAAACGTGGATAGATGTAGATGTCTATGGGCCACAACAACCACTTACCATCAGGTGAACTGTGTGCTCGTTTGTCACACTATCCTATAAAAAAAAACTTTTTTTACGAACCTGCGCACCGAAACGTTGAAACCAAATGCTTATCGTTACCTAAACATATCTTGACATAATGAATTTCTAATAAATAAAATGAATTTGTTTAATTACAGGTGCCCTGATGGATTTAACACACAGTTATGACATATCATTCTACGTGTCCGGCGGGTTCCTTCTCTTCTCTGCTGTGATTTGCTATCCTGTAAACTGCATTAGTAGGTGGGAAAAATCACGCAACAAGCTTACGGCGTCACCAAAAGTCTGATTTTTAATGGTAATGTTGCAGGAGACTTAATACCGTTCGGTAAAAATTATTGTAGTCTGTGGACTATGTTAACTATAGTAGGTACATGTCTGTACAAAATATTATTCACGATAAAAACATAAATATTTAATGTAACGAACAGTACCTGGGAATATTATACTATATAATGAAAAGACAGGGTATATTATAAGTACTTTGTTAAATATTTTACAAGGGGAAAGTCTTAACGAAGCAGGTGGCGAATTTTGCAGTGTTTTGTAAAGAATCTAAATGTGAGATAGAAATTTTAACATCACAATTATTTTGTTGTCATTTGATATAGTCGTGACTGTGTTAAATATAATTTGCCATCGTACTTATAGGATCAGTGGGCTTCCCATTTATGTCACTGTGTAAAAAATATTTAAAAAAATGTACCTCAATCGTACTTAAAAATTACATAGATTATAGTAAAAATGTGACATACCCATATCATAGTCCATATCATTGGTTAACAGACATATACATTTGACTAAATATTTACAAATGTAGTCATTAAAATATTTTTATAACATTTCTTATCCATCTTTTTAAAACTTATTCTTCTCTAATGCAACATAATATGAATTAGACTGATACTGAAATTATATATTCCTAATTTAACAATGCATAAATCGGGAGATGGATTGTTCATTGGGAATCATAAAATTTATTTAATATTGCTCTAGTAGTAAGGATACACAACGACGCGACGCTAGCAAATTACGTCATTTTGTGTCAGCGATAATGAACGACAACGAATCTGCGGATGCAAGACAATGTCGTAACTGTCGTAGCAGTGTTTAGTAGGGTTGCCACCCATACTATAATATATAGTATCGTTCTATATTTCAGTCAATTGTACTATATATTATAGAAAATTAATATAGTACCAAAAATAATATATTTTTATCCCTAATTCAACTGTCGTGCTTTTTTATATTAACTGTGACTGGAAGTCTGGAACGAGTAAGTTTTACGGAAAAAAATTTTTGCGACATGAATGTGAAATAGAAAGGAAAAAGAAATAGAATAATTTGATTAATATTAATTTGGTTAATTTATTTTAATATGAATCTAAATTGCAGAGATTCCAATAATTATTTTAAAGGTAATAGTTAATTGATGGCCTAAGCGAAAAGCAATAACAAATATTTATGGAAAAGTACATTAAGATTAAAAATGTTTTTTTTTAATTTTCCACAAGTTCTATATTTTTGCGTCTTCTTTGGGAAAAATACTATATTTGTTCAAAAAGAGGTGGCAACCCTACTTTTTAGGTACACTACTACAATCAGACTACCTATAGTTTTAGGTGCCTTAGTGTCTTTGTGTATCATTAATATTTCAGTCTATAGTTTGAATAAGCATAATATGAAAAGCGGAAATATATCCCACAATCAATTTTGAACAATGTAATAACTTACATAGAGATGGTTCTATTAAGCTCAGTTCAGACAACAGGAACACTATAATATATAGAATCCAGTAAATATTATATAAATAGAAAAATAGAATCCAACAAACAAAATCGCTCAAAATTTTTTAGGCTACGTTCACACTATGCTATACTATAAAGAATTGAATTGTTTGATAATGAAACAATGTTCTATACTTTAAAGCAGAAGCTGAATAGTGTAGCGTAGGCTGAACTGAGCTATACACTTAGTTGTAAAATGCATTTAATGATAGGTTTAGTGGATGAAAGTACAAAGACTCGAATTATAAAATTAGTCGATTTTTGACTGGAATTAATTCCCGAAAGAATATGATCTGATGCCAAATGTATGTACTTTATGATTAGAACAGATAAGCCAGGGGTTCCCAAAGTGTAAGCCGCGGCGCCCTGGTGTGCCTTAGAAAGTAAAGAAGGGCGCCGTGAGGCGATCCTGTTCACCATTTTCCGGAAACTAAAGCTAAGCATTCGTGGGTAATAACATAAACAGGATTTTCAGCTGTAGCTGTAATACAGAACAAATATCGAAATGTGATATAGAAATAATAAAGATAATAATAATAAAGATCGAAGTGGGGCAAGAAATGAGTGTAGCGGTGTCATTGACACCGCTACACTCGTTTTTTTTGACACCGTGTCAAGCCTAATCCCGCGATTTGAAAAAATGTGTGGAGATCACCAAGCTCACATGTCACATTGACTAAGTTGCCATTGTAATTTCCTATTTTCAATCATATCCTATTGTCAATGACACCGCTACACTCGTTTTTTTTGACACCGTGTCAAGCCTAATCCCGCGATTTGAAAAAATGTGTGGAGATCACCAAGCTCACATGTCACATTGACTAAGTTGCCATTGTAATTTCCTATTTTTCTTAAATAATAAATGTATTCAAGTGTGTCGATATTATATAAAAACTCCGCTTCATATTGTGAATTTTTCAATTTCTGTACGTAGTAGCCGAGCCAAAATACTAAATCTGTAAGTGCGCCGCAAACTGAAAAAGCTTGGGAACCCCTGAGATAAGCGTTACACTTCTAAACAACTTAATAGCTGCGTTCAACAGTGTCGCAAATAAACGCTATTTTTATTGTAACATAATTCCTTTTTTTTTATGTACTCTGTTGCGTGATGTCTTCTCTGCCATTGTGTGGTGCTAAAATAGACTACGAATTTTTATAAGAATATACCCATATAATAAGACTATTGTATAAATAATTAGCTATGGCATATCAATGTGCATGAGTGATTTATTATATCCTTAGGTTAGGTTATTGTTATTAATGTTCGTGCCTTACTGTGTGAAGTGATTACGCGTATTTAGATTTTAGATGTATAACAACAAAATATCAAGTTTCGTAACTTTGTATTTATACATACCCTAAACAATAAGAAAGTTTCAAATGTCCGTTGTATATTTTTACAATTGTCATTGTCGAACGTTTGTTTCCTTGTCCTACATATTATAACTCATAGATTTAAGAATTACATCTATGGCTGTGGTAAATGTAGCGTATTTGTAATCATGAATGAGAAATCATAGTCATTGCTATATTTATTTTTCAATTAATCACTGTTTAATTTGATAAACATAATCATCAATTCAAAATCACGTAGCAAGAACTAAAAATGCGTTCGTGATTTTGAGTGCAGCAGGGCTGCCAGTTCCTGCTAGGTCATCATTACTTAGGGACCTTCAAGAAAAGAGCTTACTCCTTTCTAAAAGTCCGGCAACGCATCTGCAATTCCCTTGGTGTTGCGGTGGTGGTTCATGGGCCGCGGTAGTCACTTACCATCAGGTGAGCCGCATGCTCGTTTACCCCCAATTCTATAAAATCATAACAAATCCACTGCCAAATATAGCTCTCACCCAAAAATCCCACAAAGGTGATACATGGGGCATTGGGAAATTCCAAAAAAAAATCTTAAGCGTGAAATACCCAATTTACCTGGCAAGCGTATTGACAATGGTCGAAAACAACGGTTAAGGCAAAACCACCCTACAACGGACGAGGTCCTGGTCCAGCAGTGGTTTTGGGGGCTGATGAAGATATTATTATATACACAAACCTACAAAACTGTTTTTCTGCCGACTTCCAAAAAGGAGCCGGTACTCAATTCGACTGTATGTTTTTTTTTCGTTTTTTTTTTTTATGTGTGTTACCTCAGAACTTTTTTCTGGGTGAACCGATTTCGATGATTCTTTTTTATTTGAAAGCTGGTACTTCTCGTGTGGTCCCATATGAATTTGATCAAGGTCAGACCAATTGTTTTTAAGTTATTCTTAAATAACTTATATTGAAGTCGGCTGTACAAAATTTTTAATTTTAAATTATTATATAATAGAAAATTAAAAATTTAAAGTGGACAAAAGAAGTAAATTATGCGACGTTTTAAATTTCACAGTTTCTTCTTATTCTCTTATCCTATCCGATTATATAAGGCAATCTGTTAAACAAATTGGATACATTAGATAATCGTAATTAATACACATTTTGTATTACATTTATACGATCTGGCAGCCCTAAAGTGTAACCAATAAAATATTTTTTTCCATTTCGAAAGGAAGTCAGACTAGTAATATTATATTACTTTGTAGACATTGGTTTATTACGTATTATGTGTTATTAAATGTCGTATCATATATCTATATCAACTTTAACACCTTCAAATGACATGGAGGGAAATGTCTTAAGTTGGTACTTTATCATAAATCTTAATTAAATTCAATTCGGGCTATGATATCCTTTCAATACGGGTAATGATACATATAAGATTAAAATAACCTTGCAATTATGCAAACAATCAGCAAATGTATCCGATTTACCTGATTTCTAGATGTTTCCTTTACAGAAGGTAACAAAAACAATTAGTGTTTGTGCCTTACGTTACCTTTTTTTTGTATATATGGATTTTTGCTGGTAGATCTGTTGGTATAGACATATTGAGTTGATAAATTAAATTATTTATTGTTAATTTAAAGTGACTATGATTATCTGTGCAAAAATTATGAACTGATTAATGCCACAGTGCCATAAGCGTGCATTGCTCATAAGCAATTATTACGGTACGATGATGTATCGTGTGTTTGGGTTAAGCTCCAATAAATGAATTAATGTGACAAAATATACCTGTCATGGCCACAAATATGCATTAAATATAACACTTGTTGCTTACTTTGGTATTTTCGTTATCCTTCTACCAGTTTTCAGGATAAAAATTGTTAAAATTTTAAAAAATACAAAATGTATTTGAATTAATAAATTTATTTCGAAAAAATTATTCCAATATTTTGGCACTGTTCAATGATGTCACATGTTAAGATGTCATTTTCCCTTTCCGCCACAGAATTATACAATGAGTATAAAGACTGTTCGACATGGTACCAAAAACAAAATACTGTTGATACTATTGAAGTATAGGTTGTTACTGACTACACAACAGCACAACCACGTGCTCGGAGGTGAAGGAAAACATCGTGAGGAAACCTGTATGTGAAACGACAAAAAAATCCCTAGCGATGCT